CTAGCCAGATTTGCTTTTTATAGTCTCTCAGGACCTAGATTGTTTTCAGAAAAATTCTGAGCCCCTTCTGGGGCTTGTCATCAAAATGAGGCTACTGTATCCAAGTTCCAGACCGCAAGACGGCATGCAGGATGTGAATTTCAAAACATTAATGAGGACTGGAGAGATGGCTCAGTGCTCAAGAACACCAGCCGCTCTTGCAGAGGACCCAGGCTGGGTTCCCAGCAGCCACATAGCAGCTGACAACCATCTGGAACTCCAGTTCCAGGGGATCCATTGCACTCTTCCGACCTCCTGAGCATCGCATAACATGGATGCACTTCCATACATGCAGGCAAAATACTCAAAATAAATAAAAATAATAAAATATTTTTTAAAAAAGAAGACAGCCTGGTCTATCATACAGGGCCTGAACCCCAATCTTGACCCTCTCTGTCCCTTTCACCACCCAAAAGTACTATATAAAAACAGGACACATACAAGTTAAGGCCCTGGTCACCTCCATCTTCCTGTAGCCTGCCTGAGCCCAGACACCCACCCTGGCTGGGTCAGACTACAGTTAGGGTAAGAACTCCCTGGATGAGAAGTTCCAAACCACCAGCTACCTTGCCAACTGCAAAAGCACACCAAAAGGTGATTGTAGACTGCAGCAGGTGGTGAGGCCTGGGGCAGAGGAGATAACGAGGGGACTCTGATATAGTCAGAGATCAACGAACAAGAGGAACAGTAGCTGGGGTGAAGCAAGGTCAAGGGCCTGGAAGAAGCAGCTCAGGGCCCTGTCCCGATCTCTCCACTCCCTCCTACAGTGCAGATCCCTGCCCAGGAACGGAAGTGAGAAGAGGATGACACCCCATGCCTCCTTTGTCACCCATGAAACAGCACCTCTAGTGCCAAAGGCCTAGACACTGGCCTTTCTCAGCCCAGAGGCCCCATCAGGTCTTCATCCTGTTGGGCTCTCACATACCAACCACCCTTTGCCCTCCCAGGAGACCCAGGCTGGAGACAGCCTGCCTCAGGCCCCTCCCCACCAACTCAACCCCCTCCACCCCCCTTTCCCTTCCAGCAAAAACATCCTTTCTAACACCCATCTTACCTGTCCTCAGAGCACCCCACCAGCTCCACAACCCTCTGCCTGTCTTCTCTGCCTGTGCCCCTCAACAGGGGAGCTGTCAGCAAGCCAAGACAGCATCTGCAAAGGAACAGGCAAGGGCAATATGTGTACCCCTGTGCAAAGGGGATTCTTAAATCACTCCTTGGGGCAGAGATTATCCCACACACATACTTATTTGAACACCTTGACTGACAAAAGAAAAAGAGAGTGGTCAACAGGGACAAAGGGAATAATGTCAGTGGGTGAGCACTGACTGTATACCAAGACTTGGCAAGCAAAGCCCATGTCATCCTCAGTGACAGAAAGCCTGGCTCTGAGAAGCGAAGTCATTGCTCAGAGTCACCAGGACACAGCTGGGGTGGGCTTGCTTCTCCTTAACTGTGTAGCCTTGTAAGAGACAGAACAAGACTTCCTCAGAAGGCACCTGTAGCCAAGACAGCCTTAGGCCACCAGTCCTACATTTTCAGGAGTTTGGCTTTCTATGCCCAAATGTGGTTATTTAAATTCAAATAAATTAATTTTAAAATTCAGTTTCTCAATCACACCGGCCATTTTGAAGTGTTCAACAGCCACATATGGCTATTCCATTGTAGTGAACAGACAAGATCACTGCTGTCTTGCTGGAAGGTGAGCTCTAGAAAGGCAGAGGCCTTGCCCTGCCCACACCCTGATACACAGAAGAGATGCCCGATACATCCTGAAATGACTGATAGATTACATGCTTAAAACCTCTACCCGGTCATTCCTCTGGCCCTGTCCTTTGTCACAAACAACAAATCCCTAATGATGAGTCAGTTTTCTCTGTCTGGGTAAAGGATTTCAGTTAACAGCAGTGATGCTTTCATTTTAAACACATGATCAAAGGCAAACATGAAACTGATACACACACCAAATGCACACACAAGCACGCCTAGATACATCCTTTCCAAACCAGCTAAGTAAACAAAAGTTCAAAGATGTAGAAAAGAGACGCATCATGCAGGGACACCTGCCACACTGCACAGCAGCCCCTTCGCCCACAGTTTGCTTTCCACAGATTCAGTTATTTGTGGCCAATCAGAACTCGTGCAGTACATAAGACAATTTGAAAGAGAATCAACACCACATAACATTTATTATTCTACATTTTTGTAACTGTTCTATCATTTATTGACATTAATCTCTAACCCTGACTCTAATTTATAAATTAAACTATCAGATGTGTATGCATAGAGTGAAAGTATAGTTCAATACCCTCTGCAATTTTAGGCATCCACTGGGAGTCATGTGACATATCCCTCAGGATGAGCAGAGGGCCACTGTATATGTAAACACAGAGAAAGGTGTTTCTTAAAACACAGACACACAATCAGGCTTGGTGGCACACACCTTTAATTACTGCACTTGGGAAGCAGAGGCAGGCAGATCTCTGTGAGATGGAAGCCAGCCTGGTCTACATAGCGAGTTCCAGACCCCCTGGGGCTACAGGGAGACCCTGTCTCAAAAAACAAAAACAAACAAAGCACACATAAACACACCTCCAACAATACACAGACATGCCAGTGTGAACCATATCAGCACAAATCACTACACAGTGCACTGTAACAACAGAACAGAATTAATCATGATGTAAACGTCCTCAAAGTTGACTGTCGTGGTACACTCATGTTATCCCAGCATTCAGTAAGCAGGATCGGGATGTTCAAGGCCAGCCTAGGCTACAGAGAGAGTTCAAACTAGCCTGGGCTACATGAAATCCTATCTCAAAAAAAAAAAATAGTGTCTTTGAATCTCCAGGGCCACCCCAACATTCCCACTTGCTCTAAGAAACAGAACTTCGGGAGGCAGGAACAGAGGCCCTGTGCAACCTGCAGCAGCTACCGCTAGATTACCTGTGCTGACAGGGAGGGGTCTACAGCTGGCTGTGGAGAAACTGGAGTGGGACAGAAAGCCCTAGAAAGACAACTAGACTGTGTCCAGCATGCCCAGTGCAGTGTGAGATCCTCCATGACTGGGCCCGCAGGGAAGCAGCAGACCCTTCCCCCTCCACCTGCTTTGGGTGATATGAGTTACTACAAGTCTGGATCATCAGCCTAAGTTTTGAACCCATTCCCAAGGCTGGCAATGGTCTCCCCAGGCCCCCACATCACAACCTAGAGTGGGCATCAGGAGCCCTGTGTCCTAGCCCACCTGTAACCAACCCACTCTTTGTCCCTGGCAAGTCACTCCTGTGCTTTTGGCCTCGAGTTCTTGGGTGGAGCTATCTGAAAAAAGAAAATCTCCTCCATGACCTTGTTCAGAGCATCAAGAGGCAAGCCTGAAAACACTGCACTTTCTGAGTGCTGGAAACGTCTTTTCCCTCCCATTATTACCATCTGAGAACACCACATCTAAGAGCCCTGCTTTGCAAATGCCCAATGTCAGTCTTCCCAAAGCACCTTCCCTCCATTCACCCAGGAATCTCAAGAGGCCCTCAGCACCCGCAGGCGGCCTCCAACTCCACATAGCTGTGCTGGAGACAGGCTGGCCCTTGGCTGCAGCCCTGTCTACAGGCCCCTCCACCTTGAAGCAGTTCGTGTGGCCTGGTGATTTCAGCCCAGGCCAGGTGGGCCTCCACCTCCTACCCCAGCATCAGCCATGCTCCCTCCCAATGGCCACCCAGCTCCCCCCCAACTCACAATCTTCAGACTACTGAATCCTTCCTGCATTCCTTCAATGCCTCCAAAATCCATATCTGAATTCAGATCTCAGTGTTTCTCACCTAAATGACAAGAGTGGGCAATGAGATGGGTAAAAGCACTTGCCATGCAAGCCAGTTGACTTGAGTTTGCTCCCCAGAACCCACAAGATGGAGGGAAATAACTAATTCCTGGAAGTTGTCCTCTGATCTCCACATATGCCCAGCAGAATACACACATGTGTACACACACACACACGCACACATTTTTTATCACTTATGTTGCTCCCTCCAATACATCTGCCATCCAGAACACGAACTGATTTTTCGTGTTATTCCCTTAACACACTTGGAGAGCTCCCTCCTACATTCAGATTTAGCAAAGCCGTTCAAAATCTGGCCTCTGTCACCTGTCACCACAGCCTCCCCAGTATAGCTGTCTTCCAATATTCTGATTTCCTGTATCCTCGCCCACCTGCACACCTATGACCTGTCTTGCAACAGCCTTGTCCAACATCCCTTTCCAGGACAGATCAGGGGGTCACTTTGCCTGAGACATACACCAGGCTGCTATATTTAATCTATGCAATATCCTACCTGGTACTGTGAGGTAACTGTCATCATCAGTGTTTCCTGTCACTACCAGAAGACCACCTGCATCTCAACACAAAGCAGCTGTGAACTCAGCACACAGGCCAGGCCCTAGCCTTGTGCACCATCACTAACCATTATGGTTATAAGGGATCACTTAAATAAATTTCAGCCCACAGCTGATTAGAAACACAAAATCTGAAAGGTAGCAAATGCCATTCAATGTCTTCGTGTTATAGCTAACACGGGAATCCATAAAGAACATGAACCACGGAGTCAGGATTGTCACTTGACTCCAACCTCAGGGGACCACACCCTGCGGCTGCTGCGGCTTGAGACCCATTCCGAGTCCACGTCGCCCTACAAGCTAAAGGAGTCAGGATCTCTACACACACCCCGCCCCCTTTATAGAAAAGATCCTTTCCCCGGTTCCACACCCACTGAAGCTGCTGTGCTCATTTTGGGGTCTAGGAAGCCCCCAAGGCACGCACACAGTCCTAACTTCTGCAGTGTTTCCCTCTCTCGGTTCCCCACCTCCATCCCTACCCCGCTCACATAATCAGTCATTTAAGGACCACCTACTATGAGTCCCTCTGTAGCGAGCACTGGACTTCCTGCCCCAAGAAGAGGGTCTACGCGCGGGACCGACACAGACAGGGAACCACCAGACCGCGCTGGGTGAGCCGTGCGCAGGCGACCCTTGGCTCTCCAAAGGTCCTCCGTGGAGTCCTCCCAGCCTTCCTCCTGACCTCGCTGCCCTGGTCTGCCGCCCTCCACAACCCCCCTCGGATCCCTCCACCGCGTAGCAGGGAGAGTGATGATGGAGAAAGTTTGGGGCCCGGAGCTGGGGTGCGCGCGGGGCTCGGGGCACCCCCAAGGCCCGGGCCCCACCCCTCCTCCGCTCCAGCTGGGGCCAGCGGAGCAGCGCAGGAGGAGTGGGCCGGGCTCCGGGCCGTCCCTCGCACCGCCCCTTCCCGCCCAAAATGCAGAGGGACTGGGAGGGAGGGGGCCGGGGAAATAAATACCTTTGACTTTGTGGCTAAGGTTAACGGGAAACTGCCACCCTGGGGGCGACTTGGGCACCGGGCTGCCGGCCCTGGCCAGTCCCAGGGCAGGCGGGGTGGGCGGGCGCGCGTGATTGGCTGGCCGCCCAGGCTGCGGATTGGCTGCGCGGCTCAGATGACCCGCCCGGCCCTATCGGCACAACCCGCGGGGCGGCCCCTTTGTTCTCCGGAGCCAATAGCTGGAGGCTGACCTCGCCCAGGGCTCGCGGCGGGGAGCTGGGGACCCGAGCTCTGCGGACCCCGTGGGCAGGCAGGATGGGGCGGGGCGGTGGTGACCGTGGGGGGTCAAGACCGGCGCGCTGTCCTCCGGGCCCCCTCGGACCTGTCACAGGTTTTGTGCGCTCTGCTTCCCGCACACTCGCGTGGTGATGTCTGAATTCGTGGCGCTGGTGCGAAATTCAGAGGTCCCTAGTATTCACGAGGTGCCACCGGTGTCCATGCCGGGAAGCCATCGCGGACAGAAAAACCTGGTCTTAGGGGTCCCTGCACAGCCTGTCTGCTCGGGTGTAGCCCCTTTGCCCCCTGAAAGCCCCGTTCAGCCTGAACTGAACTGCGCACACCGGTGTGTATACACATCACCGGTTGCTTGTGTCTCATGCGTGCGTCGCCAGCACCGCAGCAAACCGCACTGAGTCACGATAAACGATGCTTGGCGCTGTCTGCGAGAGACCTGGAAACACTGCACCCAAGAGCGGTTTTTCTAGCTGAGATAGCAGAGTCTGAAGAGGTTAGGTTACCAGATCTAATTTCACAGTTCACTACGGTTCGGATGAGTGGAGTATTCTCCAGTGGCTAACCTGGTCCCGACTGCCAAGGAAGGTGTTCGGTTCCCAGACACCTCCAGGAAAGTGTTTTTGTCCACCCACGTCCTCCCCATCCATCGGAAAAAAGTTCCTCTTCTTCAGGGGTCACAGCTGGGTGAATTCCTCTCACTCCTGCCTCTCAGGTCACACAGCTAAGTCAACACCCCCTTGGCTGGTTTCTCTCTCCAGAACCGCTTTGAAAGTGAAGTTTGAAAGGGAAGTTGGGTACTCCCTGGCTTCCTGCTGCAACCCCTGCCCAGGAGGTCCAGCTGCTGTCCGGCTTAATGGAAACTGGAGCAGAGTTTCTACCCCTTTTACCACTAACTTCATGTGCAGTTTTTTACAAAAGATACTTACCTGTTTCTGGACTGTGTCTTATTCGCCTATTAAATAAACCTACAATTGTCCAGTATCCTACATACCTTTCTGGATTTTCGTGTTTGCTTTTAGGTGTATAGAAGCACTTATGAAGTGTTACACAAAATCCTACACGGAGAAGTCACATATCACTAACCATCTACCCTTTGGGGGGGGTCTCCTTCATGTGGTCATTTTCTGTTGTCCCTGGAGGATGCTCCCCCAAAGACTTGCAGAGCACATTCCTGCCTCTCAGAGCTGCACTCTTGTTATAGAGTCTGTCACCAGTGACAGCGACATCACTTCCCTGGGACATCCCTTCCACTCTAGAGTGACAGACCTCCTCCAGACTGACATGCCTGAACCAAGGCCATTTCAAGGGTGGAAAGAAATGCACATTTAGGAGTCGATTCTTGCTCCGCAAAAATGGTAGCTCAAATTTGCAAAAGGAAATAGCTGGAGAAAACACTTCAGACTTCAAGTGTGAAGAGAAAGGCAGGGAGTATTTGAAAATTACTTAAAGAGAGGCTGGGCATGGTAGACCCCAGAACTTGAGAGGTAGAGGCAGGAAGATCATCAGTTGAAGGCCAGCCTGGTTACATAGTGAGATAGCAAGTTCAAGGCCAGCTTGGGCTACATGAGACCCTGTCTTTAAAACAAAAAACTACACATACGCAGATACACACACACACACACACACACACACACACACACAGGGGTCTGCATTATGTAATTTGTGTGAATGTGTATGAGGGTGCATGTGTGTGCAAATGCATGTAAAGGCCAGAGGACCACCTCAGGTGTCCTCAGGTTCCTTCCACCCTTTTCTAAGGCAGGATCTCTTGAGTTGGAACTTTAACAAGTAGGCTAGGTTTGCTAAGTGGACCAGACCAGCAAGCTACAGAGATCCTCCTGTCTGCCTCCCATTTCACCATCTATGGGATCACAAGCATGAGTCACACACTCAATTTCTTACAAGCGTTTTGGTGATCCAACCTCAGATCCTCACACTTGCAGAGCAAGTGCTTTACAGATGGAGTCATCTTCTCAGTCCCTGTATTATGTAATTTTTCTACAATTATAGGAAAAAAAAAAAAACTGGATTCTCCAGCCAAGAATCCCAGCTGCTGGTGGCAGGGCTCTGAGACCTCCCAGTGGGGGCAGTCCTTCCTTTTGATTGAAGTCAGGTGAACTGTGATGAGCAAGAACTTGAGGACCACTGGTCCCTTCAGGACCTCAAGAAAGAAGCAGGGACAAGATCACTCATCCTCGCTTTCCTAGCCCACTCAAGGCCGCTCATGTCCCTTAGACCTCTCCTCACCATCACTATGCAGCATAGCACTCAAGAATATCCAGGTACCCATGTCGTTTCCCTTTAAATGTTTTTAAGGTAAAGACCACTGGTCAGATCCCCTATCCATCTTATCCCAACCCCTCAGAGCTCCACCAGATGCCCATCCCCTCATTCTTGCCCACCGTCCACCTATTCTTTCTTGGTCTTCTCCACTTGGCTAGAAGCCTTGAGCTCCCTCAGGAAACAGATGTGAGTGGAGCTTTCTTGAGTGTGCCCTCTGCCCCCAGGTTCTAACAGAATTTACCTTCAACTACACAGGTTTTTCAATGGCCCAATGAACCAACAAGAAGCATTAGAGCTTCTGGCTTCCATCCTACATACTCTGATCCCCACTTACCCCCCCCATTCACCTTTCCTTCCTCATTATTTATAAACCTGTATTCATCCTTTCAGACACAGGCCCTATTGGGGTACGTACTGGGTCCTGGTTTCCACCACATCAAGTAACAGGCATGTAATACATTAACCAAAAACAGAAGCACACTACATTTACTTTTTTGGTATGTGCTGGTGGTCAAGAGTGAAGGGGGCAGGAGCCAGACAGGTCTAAGTCTCAATCAGTCTCTAGTGATTACCGGATCCTGGACCATATGCAAGTGTTTGCATGGATAAAAGGACAAGAGCAGCAAGAGCAGTCCATGCGGTGAGGTCTGGCAGGGGAACTTCTTAGCAAGGTCCATTCACATAGACAAAGGATGGTTGTGTAGAGATTGAATGCAGAGGTGACTAAGACAGGCAAGAACAGAGCCTGTTGCTTCCTGACCAAAGACAGCACTCAAGTTTGTATAAACCATCAGTGATAGGCCGGCATGCAGCAGACCAACCAGGGAGCCCATGCCAACCAGATTCAAATCAGCCTTTCATTCTCCCCTAGGTAACAGGCACCTGGTGAATCTAAGCAGACCTCACAGAAAACTGAACTCACGTGAAGCTGTGTGGCTCCGCGCTCAATGTTGGGGGATGTGTGAGCTGAGAGCCATCTCTGCTGACCAGAATGCCTCTTTTCCTAGAGACTCCTGTTTCATGATGACACCCGTCTGCCAGGGGCTGCAGATGTAATCAAAGTCTGGAATGTCTACCACCCTCCAAAGGGGCTCTCAGTGCTCAGTGAAGTGATACAAAGGCCAAGGTAGTGAGAAAGACCACGGTGGCCCTGAGTCTGCCATTCCAAAACTTTGCTTTCAAGAGGTGCATTCCACCCATCTTGGCTTGCAGGAGACTTGGCTCACCACCTAGAGAATTTGCTCAAGTTCTAGGTATGCCGGGCCCTTCCTCAGACAAGGACTGGGAGGAGGGCATGGAGGTGCTCAACTGCTGTTAGAGCTTGAAGGGCCTGACTCCTCAGGAAAAGGCACTGTTCCTCCCTCCATCACCACAGCCCCCAGGGAAAGGAACACACCAGCCACCAGCTCTAAAACCAAGTCTTTATTCTCTAGGTTGAAAAGGAGAGTAAATGGTTGCTCTGTTTCCATCCAGTGAACAAAGCAAAGCCCAATAGGTAAAATTCATAGGAAAGTAGAATTCAATCATTATGAGGAAAAATTTCTAACAATGAGAATCATCCTATCATAGAACCAGGGCTTCTGGAGGTGGGAACTCCCTGATACCCAGGTGCTTTGGTGGTGGCTGGCATCCACACACTGGAAATCTTAAAAAGGAAATCCACCCAGGCCCTTCCCTGCCAAACCCCCACATCCCCAGCATGGGTGGGCCAGTCCTTTCCATAACTCCTAAAGCTTTGGAAAGAGTTGGGGAGGGTCAGGGATTGAGACCCTGGGAAGACAGGGAAGCCCTCAGCACTGGTAGGGAAGGCAGATAAAGCCAAACAGGTGAAGGAGGAAATGTCCTGGGAGGCTGCTCTTCAAGAAGGAAGTGGATGGAACTGCAAACCGTAGATAGGCCTCTACAAGTCTGGGTGCCTATGTAGGAGGCACTGGGGAGGGGACACTGAAAACGGCTCAGCTTCACCTCTCCTGTGCTTAGCAAGGCCAGCAGGTTCCCCAAGGTGTATCGAGCTGGCCCACTTACCCTGCCCCAGCATTCATTTACTAAGGACTACACCACACCTACTTCCAAAAGCGACCTGAAGTAACTCATAGTAGAGACTGGGACATTAAGGCGTTAGCACCAGAGGGCGGAGTGGGTCCCCTCCCACTGGTGGCTCCTCTAGCCAAGGGCTTTAAGGGTAGATGGAGCTGCTATTGCTACTTTTCCAGGGCAGTGTGAACTGACCCTCGGAAATATCCGCTGGAGGCCAACTGGCTCAAGGCCAGGTCTCTGCATTCTAAGAGGGGCTCCCTGGCCACCCGAGTTAACTCGCTTACTAACAGGGCCCTGCTCACTCTGCCTCGTCTATCCCTCTGGGATTCCCATGGGTCCCTCCAGCAGCAT